CTGCACACAATATACTTCCTGCCATTCTCAACATCTTACCAGCCTTGGAGTACCAGGATCCTTCACACAGGAAGCGAGTGCCCAGCACTGGAGAGGAGTCCGGAGGTCGCGGAGATTCTCCTGAGGAACGACACGGAGTCAGAACATGACCGATAAACCATCAACAAGCCAGACCAGGCAGCTGCTATTGGGCCCGGATTGGGAAGGGGGGCCCCATTAGGGGGTTGTCGAGGCAACTCAGAAAATCAGTGTATCTCATGCTGTATAATGATCCCGGGGTTGGTGTCACAGACCTCTCTTGCTTCCCCCCAATCTGCGAGTAGATTTATTGCCCTCAGAGGTTTTGGTCATCCCGGCCAGCACTGCGATATTAACCCTAAACCTACCGCAGTCTTCCCGAGACTGAAAACCCCCCCCCAAAGTGTCATCATAACCCCGCTCATCACCTTCCTCCTCCTGAGCCAAGCTTTTCTTGGTCAGACTCTCCCGCAAGCTGCCGTGATGCGGGGCGCTCCGCACCGCTGAGAAGGGGCTCACGCATTCCTGCTCATTGAAGCCGCGGACGACCTTCTGCAGTCCGCACAGAGCCGCGTATGCCGCCTCGCCTGCAGAGAACACGAGCCGCGGATGAGACAAATCAGGAGAAAGATTGACAAGAACAGCTCCGACTGGTGTACGACTCTCACCGTCCTCGGCAGAACAGACGCTCGCCGCGCTCGTGGGCGTCCCCCTCTGCGACCCCCTCACGGCATCGTTCACACGAGGAGTGGAAGCTGAGGAGAAGGATGAACTGGACATTAGTACCTGCCGTACAGAGTCAGGGGGATCGGTATAACGCTGCCCGTTGCACTCACCGGGGGCCGGCTCCTTGGCCTTTGGTCCATGTCCCTCCTGGGCGTTGGTGGATGGGGGTGTGGACAACGCCACCAAAGGGCTGACCGAGCCGAGCTCGGCAAACTCGCTCACCACGCGCTGCAACCCGCCAATCGCCGAGTAAGAGGGATCCACTGAGGAGGAGCAAAGTACAAAGATCGAAACGTCGCCGGGGAACAGCCTCCGAATGTCATCATTGTGCACAGGAAGAGACGGCGCGCGGGAGGGAGCACAGCGCACACCGGTGCTTACTCCATGCAGTGTCAAGTAACAGGTTCTCTTTAATGCCCCCCTCCTCCCGACACTCCCCCCCCCCCCCCCCCCCCCCCCCTCT